CATCTAACAAACATGCAGCTGTGAATTTTTTTTTACTGGTATCTAACTATTTTGACAATTTGCAGATAATGAATGAGATGAACTTACATTTCTTGAGATAAGCTACTTGATTTTCTGAGTGTAGCAAAGACTCAGTACCATGTAGGCTGCTGGAATTGATGACAGCTGGGCAAATTCCTGTTACTGAGATAGGGGAGTGATCCAGAAAATCAAGCACGAGCCCTTTTCCGTTTCTTATTTCTTACTCCACTGCTAAATTACCAGCTATAGCCTCATTCTTTTAAGGCTGAGGTAAATTGTTAGAAGTGTTTTTCTAGAACATGGGAATGTGACTGTGCACTTTTTGTGGTAGTCCCAGCAGCAGAAGATATCTCAAGTATGTCCTACTGAGAGGCGTGTGAGGACTGTGTACTTTTAAGTTAAGGAAAGAAGATGCAGGAAATGTTGAGATCAGCTTGTTTCAACCCAAGGCTTCATTTGTGAAACACAGGATTTTTTACAAGCAACCAGGTAGGTTATTGACACAGTGTGTTACAAAATTGCCTCACAAAGGGAAATGTGTCGAAATCTCACCTGCAGATAGCAGATGGACTAATTAGAGTAAGTTATTTGTGGTAGATAACCAGCCAATGGTCAAAGCAAGATTATCACAAGAGCTGGTTATGATTTGTGAAAAAATGATAAGTATTTGCAGAATTTGTGATAAGCTGTGTGTCTTAAATTGAATCTAGTAGGTACCACAGGCACAAGACAAATACATATCTGTAATGATGTATCTTAAGCAGAAGACAAATTTCCTACTTTGGGTATTTTGATTTGTTTGTCTTCCAGTGCATTTTTTTCATGTTTTCCATTCTTTTTCCCATCCCCAGTGAAGGGAACTTCAGCATTGTGAGAATATAACAGTGCAGGAGATTTTGGTTAAAGTCCAGTGATTTACTGCCTGAGTCTTGACAGAGATCAAATGTGGTGTCCTATTGCATGACAGAGTTCAGTGAATGTTTAGTTTATTAGTGGCAGACTTAGGATGATTCTTAATAGAAAAACTGCCAGGAAATGAAAGACATTATTGAGTTTGATGAAGTTAGAAAGAGAATATAAAACTGAATAAGTGGGAAAAAAGATGAGGAAACAAATAGAGATGGAAAAAAATAGTTACTCTACAGAAGAAGACACAGACAGTGATGGTAAATGCAAGAAAGGAAATAAATGTAGCAAATTTAGGAAGTAAACGGATGCAGAATTAGATAAGAAGACAATCCTTAACAAAAACAATTTAAAAATTTTTTTTGTAAAGCTTAGTGTAAAAAAGAATAAATTCAATTGTCTCAGCTGGGTGGTTGGATGTTAGGGCATGGGATGCTTGTATTAATTTTCATATTGAGAATCTTTTGAAGGTGACATATTAATATTACAGTGGTTGTTGCTTTAATCCCAGATATCCTCAATGATCACTCTGTGTTAGAATTATTATGTCCATGGTAGTCTTGCTTGGATACTGTTCCATTCAAAAAATATAAGCCTTCATATTTGTCTCTGTGAATTGTCATTTCACCTTCAAAAGTGAAATGTTTTGCACTGCTTGCAGATACTTTCCAACAAAAGCTGCTTGAGGAATTATTTTCCTGGGACTTTCATATTATGATGCTGTCAGGGAGTTTAAAATAGTACAACTCTTCAAGACCTTCCTCTTTACTTGACTTTGGGCAGGTGTGCTGGTCTTGGCTGGGAATTTTAATTTGCTTCACACAGCTCTTCATACCAGCTCTTCACAGCAGCTGGTATGGGGCTATGGTTTGAATTTGTGCTGAAACAGGGTGATGAAAGGGTTTTTGCTAACGCTGAGCAAGGCTAACACAGAGCCAAGGCCTTTTCTATTCCTCCCCCTACCCAGCAGCGAGGGGTGCTCAGGAAGTTGGAGGGGACACAGCCAGGACAGCTGACTCCAACTTACCCAAGGGACATTCCATACCATATGGTGCCATGCTGAGCATACTAAAGCAGGAGGAAGAGGAAGGCAGGGAGGAACATTTGGAGTGATGGTGTTTGTCTTCCCAAGTCACAGTTATGCATGACTGAGTCCTGCTCTCCTGGAGATGGCTGAACACCTGCTGCCCACAGGAAGCAGTGAATTCATTCCCTGCTTTGCCTTGTTTGCAGGCATGGCTTTTGCTTTCCCTGTTAAACTGTCCTTATCTCAACCCATGCATTTTCTGCCTTTTCCTTTTCCAACTTTGCTGCTTATACTGACAGGAAGGAAATGAGTGAGTGGTGGCATGGGGCTGAGTGCTGGCTGGAGTTAAACCACAACACCTGGAATGAAGGTGTTGTTCTTGCCTTGTCTGAAGTTCCTTGAGCTTTTCCTTGGAAGGCAGTGCACTCACCTGTGTGATGCTCATTTACAGAGTCTCTGCAGTTCTGGTGTATTCCTTGAAACTATGGCCAGTACAGTGTTTGCCAGCTTTGTTTGGGATGTGCTTGACAGTTGCAGAAACAAGGAACAACTTAGAACAGATATCCTGGTGCTATTTCTAGGTAATTACTGCACATGCATTTTTATTTTGTTTGTGAATAAAATGTACAACACTAAAGCTTAGGCTGTGTATGCAAAGAGGATTTTTGTATTTCCATTGACGTTTTTAAACTTTCATACACAACTGGCACAAAAACTCCAGGACAAAACATTTGGTTTTAATCTCATGACACCAGTGTTTATACTGGGAAAAAAAAAAGCCAAAATTTTAATGCACATACATAATGATTTATATGTCATAAAATGAGAAAGCAAATGCTTCTCTCAATTTATATGGGCAGTGACAATTGTTAAGTGATATTAGGAACTAGGCATGGTGTGCTTGTGCATTGTCAGTCAATAACTGGAATATGGTAGGCAGAAGAATCAGGATTTGTGGACAGCTGTGCAGCAGGTATCCATGCATCCTCAAGGAGATATGCCTTGTGGTGAGGAGAGGACTGTGGCTGTAGTGTGCTGAGGTGAGGTGGGGTTCCTGCCCTGGGATTGGGGAGCAGGCAGCCTCCCTCAGCCTCCTGCCCAGTGCTGAAGTGGGGTGGGTGGCAGCAGATGGCTAAAGGTGAACCAGAACTGTTTGCAGAAATACCACAGAACTGTACTTGCTGCTGTATTTGCTACTATCAATTAATATTTTATTATTTTTTAAAATTTCTGGGATATTCTTTATTTAATCAGTACTTCTCTATTTAACCTTAAACTAAGTAAAATCTGGAATAAAGGGAAAGTAAGAAACCCTGTATACAAACACTCACATTGAGGTGTAGACACACTGGCAAAGTTCAGGTAGCCCAAAATGAGAGACGACACTTCATCCCTAATTTGTATCAGTAGGAAAATGGCTGTGAAAGGATGTAGGTTGGGCACAGATTATCAGCTGGGCTTTGTGTTTCCACACACGGCCACATGTTAAAATATATTCTGTCTTTGAAGTTTCCACTAAAAATCCCACCAAAACCACCTCTTAAGGAAGTTAAGCCTAAATCTGTGCTCTATAAAAATTTTAATTTGATAGCCACAAGTTTGCAATTATTAAATATAACTCAGCTTACTTATCCATTTTAGGACATTTATTTTGGCTTGTAAGCATGCTTTTTTAGAAAGCTTGTTAAATGATATGTAAATTTCATGCTCACTGCACATCTTTATATATAAAAATCAAAATTCCAATGCAAATCTGTAGCCTTGGTTGCACTGTAGCAATATGTTTCTAGTACATTAAATACCAGAAAAAAATATTGAGGGGGCATTAAGTCAGGTTGTGGATTAAATAATTTTCCAAGCCTGTAGTATCTCTTTTTAAAAAAAATCTGACTAAAAGTCAAAGCTAGTTTTTAGAGATGAAACAAAAAGATCAATTAATAATTAGCTACATAATCTTAATTCTTTCATTCAGACTTACTAAAATTGTAATTTTCATATTTAATATTCCTCAGTTTGCTCATTGGTTTTCATCCCTTTTAATGTTCTTAACCGGATATAACGTCCCTAAACGAATGTATTTTAAAATATTGACTTACTCGGTCTTACAAATGACAATGTAATGCTAAGGCACAACCCAAGAGTACTTAATGTTATCAGTATAACAACTCACTTTTTAAGTAGTGATACCTTTTTATAGGATAAAACATTCCAGCTCTTTTATTTTTAAAAATAAATTAATACCTTAATTTATTTGTATTCCACCAGAATGAGTACATTCATTGCAAATTGCATGCACATAAAAGGGAAGCCATTTGTAAACTACATGATATCTTAACAATAAATAGTATTTGATCTAATACACGATGGTAGTTCATTTCTTGTAAAACTGCAAGCTTTTACCAAAATGAAACCAAACTCTTATTCTCTTTATAAATATTTTAAATAATTTTTAGGTACATGTTTCTTACCAAGTATATAAAAATAGTGTTTTTAGATAAATTAAGAGGTTTCATTTACATGACAAATAACGTGCAACATCTAAGCACTCTCTAGCAGCTCTATTTGGTTGATTGTCTAGATGACATGCAGCGAATGTCCTTTGCCTTCACACAACTTGACAAAAAGACCAGCAGGACCCACGATCACCTGAAGCAAACAGTGCCATAGATATTGTTTGGAAACAACAGTCAGACACTCAGAGAAAACCTTTGCTTCAATGAACAAAAGCCACCCATGACGGTTCTTTGTGCTAGACTTCCAGCTGCTCTGACCCTCAGGGTCTTTGGACTATCACAAAAGTCTGTCAAACAGACAACTTATATCTGTATTCAAAATGTTTTTTCAACATGCTTCTAGAATCTAGAAATTTATTGTTTATCCTATAGTATGAACCATTACCTTTTCTTACTTTCTATAAGTCCGAATTTTCATGTTTGTAAGTCTCCATGATCACCAAAACAGGGATCAAGTAAAGCAGTCATGCAGTACTCTCTACATTTAAAACTGGCAGCTGTGGAACATGCTTTGAGTACCACTTCACTGTTTCTCATACATCTATGGCTTGGCAGTCTTTATCTTTAACATCCCTTGTGCTTGTCACAATGTCTACTGGGAAATCTGGGGTCTGTGCAGAAGTTACTCCGGCTGTTCCTTCCAGGTCCCATGATCCTGGCAGGTTTTCAAGACTTAGTGAGCTGATTGCTCCTTGGCTAAAACTCCCTTCCTCTGATCTGCTGGGCAGCACTAGGTGCAGTGATGTCTCTGATGAAGAGCATACTGAAGGAGAAAGCGTTGCTGAAATAGACTGAAGAGGAGTCAGGGTAGTGTCTGAATGGGGAGAGGTGCTTCTTAAAAACTGCAGATTGTCTTTCTGAATTACCTGATACTGGGAAGGGGAATTTTGAAGGCCTGTTGTATAATAAAGTTCACCATCCATAGAATTTTGCAGGTTGGGTTCAGTCCTTTGGGGACTGCTGCCTACAGAAGACAGATCTGTATTCCAAATGTCACATAGTGTGTTTCCACGACAAAGTTGTGCTTTGGTGCAAGTGAAGTTCCCAGCTTGCATGTGCGAGCAGGGTTGATGTGTAGTCCAAGCCACTCGAGGCTGCAGACTGTCCAGTGTGGGACTTCGAGATAGGCTGTGCACAGCACAGAATCCTGGAGGCTTCTGGGACGTGAGCAGGTTTTCCAGAAGATGCATCACATTTTTCATATCCTTACGTAGTTGTGAGACTTCTTGACTTAAAGATGTCATCTGTTGTGAAAGGGCAAAATATCACAGTATTTATTCACCCACCATGCCTAAAATATGTACATACATCCCTCTTTTCTTTCTAGCAATAGCAACTCTCATCTTTGGCACAGTGTAGAAATGAATTTTGCTAGTGTATATGTGGGAAATAGTCATTCCAGCTACTTTAATCCACCTGACTTGAAATTATTCTTTGCATATAAAAACTGATCATAGGGTGAGAACTGAGATGATTTCCAGATGCAGTATGACATCAATATTTTCTTAATCAATATGGTTTAAATAGTTTAAACCATAAAACTTTGTTTTTAAACAATTTCATGCTGATGAATTACATAAAAATGAGGTCTTGTGAAATTATGTTTAGAAATACATGTGAAGTATAATGCCGTCTTCATAGGAAAATAAAAGAAATCCATACTCTCAGCTGTGGACTACTACTAAAAACAAAAAAAAAAAGGAGGAAAAACTGGAAACTCTAAAACCCACTTGTTACCTCTAATTATTTAAAAAATATAAAAGATTGTGAAGCAGTTAGTTTCCATGCATTTTTGAGTACGCTTGAAAGGTACTACATATAACAGACATTAATCCATTGCATAAATTTCTCTGGTGTGTGCGCAAAAGGAACAATCAGATTTTTTATTAGACCTTTTATCTTAAATGCTGAAACTACTGGTAGCACCCATTTGGTTTCATGAAGTACATGAAGTCTTTTCTCAACACTGCTGTTTTGGGTGGGTATTGGACTGGCAAGTTCTGAACTTGTGTTTTAAAATTGACTGGCATTTGAACATTAATGGGGACATATTTTTAGGCCTTTGTAAGGGTGTTCTGAGCAAAGAAAAGTCTAGCTCAAACATAAAAGTAACACACATAATTTTGAAGGGTAGAAAGTAAATTTGTCTCCATGGTAGTTATCAATCTATCTTAGGTCATAGCACTATCATTATCATTAAAATAGAGTTTCTCATACTGGTGCTACTCTGTTGAAAAAAAGACATGACTGTGCATTCATCTTCAAGCCACATGTCAAAAAGAAAATAATTCAGGGAGCTTTTCTTTGATCTCAAGTAGAGACACCACTGATTAGATGACCTACACAGACTAATTTTCATTGTTCTGTCAGGATAGCTCTGAAGAAATCTGCTGGAAATACATTTCAGGCTGAGTTTGATTGTGTTATTACAGGCACAATAATTATAAAGAAATTCGGAGAAGAAAGTAGGAAGCTCCAATACAGCTCCTACAGATCTATTTATTTTTCTCTGAGCTTCTTGTTTAATAATTTTCTAATGATCACACTGCCTCTGGAGAGAAAATCCTTAAAGGGAAGAGAGTTTTGAGTGGCAGGTGACAGGATCTCTGTCTCTGCACTTCTTTTTCTTTCTACCTCATTGTCTAATTGAGTCATGGTAGATAGAAAATACCATGAGATTCTCTTCTGCCAGCAGAGATTAAGCTTTGAATGCCTGGTAACTTCAGTTAATGTGAGAAATTAAAATATGCTGCCAAAGTGCTCTGTGAGCAGGCTTCCTGTGTGGTCAGAGCACCCAGTGAAGGTTCTTGGTACCATCAGACTGTGAGAAAACACAGTGAGATTTCTGGACAAATCAGCTTCACAAGAACTCCTGTGTTCTGTTGGACCCTAGGAAATGATATTGCAAAACCTCCAAAAGAGGTTTTGGGAAGGATGGGGGAAGACAGACAATCAAACTCACGGCTATCTAGATTCACTGGTCATCAGTTCTTTCTGGGATCCTCACTGGCCCCTACACCTCGTGGATACAGCAACAATTTTCTGTGCATAACTTCCCAACTTGCATCATTTTTTTCAGGGCTTTCTGCAGGTGTGCAAATAAAAATATTGACACTACTTTATGAGTATGTACCTTACCTAGACTATGAATGCTGTGTGAAAATATCTGCAATTTTAAAATGTCTTGTTTGGTTTGATCCTCATTTTTGTTTTCCATTTCTCATCACTTATGAGCTTTTTAGAAGTTGAATCATCATTTAACATGTTTCCTTTGCCAAATCATTAAGAAAATACAGCAAAAATCAATCCCAGTATCAGCACTTGTGGCAGCCCTGAATTTCTGTTCATTACAACTTGCTCTAGTGCCCAGATACTCTATTTTTGATTTATCAGCTAGGTCACAGAGTGTTTTCTTCTCACAAATTTGCTTTTGCACCAACATAGGGATTTACTTGATAAACCTCTATAAAGTAGGCTTTAATGGTTTCCAGTAGTATGATAGTCAGAGTAGTCATGCCAAACTTAATTCAACACTATCAGTTAGTAAGACCTGTTGGGACCTATTCTGGATGTCACATAAACAAAAGATTACAAGATTAAACATCCAGTATCTATATCCATATTAATTATCATATGTCTCTACATTATTGTAGTTCTACACATGCATAGCATACTATTAGTGTTCCTACCAACATTACACTGTTTATGCTATTATTTTTTTTTTTACCCTGAAGAGATCCCTGAGCAGATACAAATAAAAAGGTGTAACAGGGGAAAAAATGTTATCAGTACTCTTAACAATTTCACAGTGTTTGAGAAAGTGCAAAAGAACTGGGATTAAAAGCCAAAGGAATTTTAAGTCTATGAAAGAGAAATTGAAAGCAGTATGGTTTCTTCCTGAGGAAAAAGGACTAATTCCTGGCATACCACTAAGGCTGCACTCTTTTCAGGAGCTCACTGATTATTGCTAGGCAAAACAGCTACTGGTACAAATGGTTCCTGCTGTGCTAGGCAGACAGCTTTAAAATTATCTCTGAGATCCCAAATATACTCAAAATGCTGCCTTAACACTTCCTAGGACTTGAAAAAGATATTGCAATGTTTCTGGATGTAGAAACTGGATTCTATACAGATTTAACTTCAAGTAGCAAGAGGTGCTTCTCAAACTGGTTGAAAGCAATGTGCTGGTGCATTTTTAGTAGACTATTTTATCAGGAAAGAATATATTCAAAATAGAGGTTAAAATATAATTTTAGTAGATGTATTTTGTATTTTAAAATTACTTTGACAGTTGCAGAAGAAAGAGTATTTTTCTTTACTACCAGTATTAAACTGTTGAGAAGTTTGAGTATTTTGTTCCATGTAGTTAGGTAGGAAAGGTGTGATGCTTGTTCTTGTTTAAATGGCTAAACAGATTTCTTTTTCTTCCCATTATATATTCCAATATCTATTTTTTAAAGACAAATTTTAAACTGGAATGCCTAGCTCTCATCCCTGTTCCTGGATAATTCTGAATGTCCTAGGGTGACTTTAATATATGAACCCTAAATTAAATAATGGGTAAAATAAGACTTTTTCTGATTGGAAGCTGATTAGATTCTTATTTGTACATATTTTTCTCTCCCTGTGTTTACTCCCTTTTGAAATTCAAACTTTAGACCCAGATGTCTTCCTGCTTTGACTCTTTCCAAACTCCCAAAATGAAGATGAATATTGGTTTATTGAGAAATGGAAGCTGCATTTTGGCAAAGTGGAGGAGTTCCCTGGCTTGCACTGCATATGGCAGCTTCTCTGTTCCCTTGCTTGGTCTTTCATTGCTTCTTCTATTCTGGTTTTTCATTAAGTCAGGGAGATTTTCAGCTAGAATGAGTTGCCTTTGAAGCTCTGATTGACTAACTGCTGGTATTCTGTTTCTTACTGACTGTGTTGTTGAATGAATGAAACAAGAATTGAGCAGACACAGACACTTCATTGATCATCTATCAGCAGCTCTGTGGCTGTTGGTATTGTGGTGACTGACATTTTTGATTTAATGGCTTTAGGAACAAAGCTAGTTGCAGAAAAATAAATCCAGTGTAGCTAATCTGAGTTCAGACTAAATCTATAGGATTTGTGCAATGATATGATGATTTAGTTTCAGTGACATAAATCCAGGAATCTGGAAGGTTGTGCAATTGGCTTTGCCACGTAAGAGTAGGAAATTTGGTCATTTGCTTATTCTCTAGCCAGCTCTTTGGTAGTTCCAGTCACCAGTCTGGGTAAATTAGGACACCAAGATTATTGCTATTAAACAGAAGGATAAATGAGAGAAGTATAAAGGACTAGAGTATTTAAATATATTCAAGTTAGCAGGCATCCCATGAAATTCAGTCAGGAAAAGGGGCTCCCAAACTGCAGTTTTAATAATAATTTGTGGCTCTTCACTGGGAGTGAATCTGGTGGGAAGGAGAAGGGAGGTGGTATGTAGCATCTGTCTGCTACAGAGAGGCTGAGAGAATTGGGATTTTTCAGCCTGGAAGAGAGAAGGCTTTGAAATAACCTTCCAGTACCTAAAGGAAGGCTACAAGAAAGATGGAGAGGGATCATTTACAAGAGGATGTAGTGATAGGACAAGGGGTAATGACTTCAAACTGAAAGGCAGTAGGTTTAGTTTAAATATTAGGAAGAAATTCTTTACAGTGAGCATGGTGAAGCACAGGAACAGATTGCACAGGGAAGCTGTGGGTGCCCCACATCCCTCAAGGTGTTCAAGGCCAGGCTGGATGGGGCTCTGAGCAACCTGGTCTAGTGGAAGGTGTCACTGTGCTTGGCAGGGGGGCTGGAACTGGGCGATCTTTATGACCCTTCCAACCCAAACCATTTCATGATTCTATGATTGTTTGATGTGGACTCTGCCTTCAGATTGGCAAAGAATCAGGATGGTGTCAGCATAATGGTGGCAATAAGAAAATCAGGTTTGGAAATTACTGCTTTGAGGAATTAAAAATTACCAGGGCCAAACTGACTGACTAGCTGTTGATTGAGAGAAAATGGAGGATTGTGGAAATCTCAGGTGGTTGGGAGAGGAGAAGCTGGCAATATGTACTGATGAAAGGAAACCTGAGGTAGTATGTATGATATTGGGCAAAAATATCAAGCAGACAATTTCTATAATCAGTTAAAGGAATATTTAAAAGAGAACCAGAAACATTATGGTTCTTAGATATAAATTATGGCAAGGCTGTAATTATTTTCTTTAACTGAA